TCCTCCTTTGGCTGCCAGTGCCGTGAGTCTTGACAAAAGTATATTTTAGCAATGCCCCATAACCCTTAGTTCACTTAACGTCTTAATTGTCAATATGATGTTTCTAACGTGTTTGTTCTCTTAATCTCGAGTAATTCCAAACACGCATCTCTCCATGTTAGTTTTCAGAGCTTATGAACAATATGGAATGGTGTTATAAATATTATGTTAAAACTTGAGTGTGAGAATGAGTGTTCAGGTATTTTAACTGTAGAGGGTTAGTTTGTTAGACTGTGATGTTCTAACTCACTCCGAATGTTTGAACCCAGTGTTCTAACTCAATGGGGTTAGAACAATTCCAATGTTGTAACACTAGTATTAGAACTCTGGTGTTAGAATTCGTGTCCTGATGTTTTCGCTGGAGAGGGTGAGATTAGACTTTGTTCTAACCCTTGAGCGTGTTTGAACAACTGCACCGTTATACCACTCGTGTTTTAGAACTGAGTGTACGTTCCAGTGTTCTCTTAACTAAAGAGGGTTATTGCATTGATCTCTCTCACTCGAGGCGTTATCATTTATTTCCAATTTTAATCTGTCTCTGTGTTCTTACTCGACAGAGTTAGATCGCTACACAGTGCCGTTCTAACTCAACCCTTTTGCGTTGGAACAATCCCGCGGTGCGTAAACGTTCTTATTAATATCGCCGCAGGGTTTGGTGGTACATGTTGTTTATGTCGTTTATTTGGAAAATTCGGTCACAGTTCCTATGATCACTGTTACATTGCTTTAATGGCTTTATTTTGGTGATTTCGAAAAGTTGTTTTGGTTTGGCCATGTTTGTTTGTTGTAGTACGGAGTTAGACTGATGGCTTTAATCTAAGTTGTCTTGTTGTTGTTTGACTTGCATCCCACTGCGATTTTTGCACACAGCGTTGGTGTACGGTGCTTTTTTTGCAATATTTTGCTGTCTTTTCCTGGATTTTCAGTTTGCACTTAGTCACATAGTAACTTTAAGATGTTTTCTTTTGTTCATGTTTTTGTTTGTTGCCGTTGCACCCGATTCAAGAGCCGAATGGCTCACAGGGCTATACCTAATATAAATGAAACTGAAAAAAAAACTGCAATGTCAGAACAGCGGCGTGAGAACTCGCGATGAAAAAAAAAACCTCTTAAACAGCGTTTCGGATCATTCCGCCCTGCGGCGTTAAAACTCGTTCACTCGACCGTTGTTATAATAAAGCCGGATTGTTTATCACGCCATCGATTCATCGTGATCTCGCGAAGAGAGTCGCTCCTATCGCCCGGGTACCACCTCCTCCTCTTCCTCCCCCACAACCACCTCCACCTCCCCCCACCACCACTTCCTCCCCTCACCTCCCCCCACCATCTCCTCCCCCCCACCACCACCTCCTCCTCCTCCCCCCACCACCTCCTCCCCCCACCACCTCCTCCTCCCCCCACCACCTCCTCCTCCTTCCACCATCACCACCTCCCCCCACCACCACCCCCCCCCACCACCACCACCTCCCCCCACCACCCCCTCCTCCTCCCCCCACCACCTCCTCCCCCCACTACCTCCTCCTCCCCCACCACCACTCCCCCCCCCACCACCTCCTCCCCCCACCAACTCCCTCACCTCCTCCCCCCACCTCCCACCACCTCCTCCCCCCACCTCCCACCTCCTCCTCCCCCCACCACCACCCCCCCACCTCCTCCCCCCACCTCCTCCCCCCACCACCCCCCCCCCCACCTCCTCCTCCCCCCACCACCTCCGGGTCTCCCCCCACCACCACCACCTCCCCCCTACCACCTCCTCCCCCCACCACCACCTCCTCCGGGTCTCCCCCCACCACCACCTCCCCCCCACCACCTCCCCCCCCCCCCCCCCACCACCCCACCAGGTCGAGGCGGCGCCGGGAGCAACGAAGGCGGCGTGAGGACGCCGGGACGACTTCTACCTCCCTCCCTCCTTCCCTATCCCCCCCACCTCACACACAGTGAGTCGCTTGCATCGCCACAATCACTGCCGTCGTCGTCGTCACCACCATCATCATCATCGTGGTCGTCACGATCATTCATCGCCACTGTAATTCATCACAATTGTACAACAGCAGCGTGGGTCGGGAGAGGGGGGGGGGGGTCTGGGGCAGGGTCGGCTACCGGGGATTCCCCGGCTTCGGCTTCTATCCGAGGTCGGGCGGCCTTGTGTAAAGGCCTACCTCGCTACGCAACCCGCGTCGGTTGTGTGAAATAACAATGCCGTCACGCGGCGACTTAAATTAAAAGTGGCACCCCTGGTAGGTGCGCTAATGATGACAATGTCAGGGCGAACATTATTGACGTAAGGCGATAAAAGCGCCGAGTTTCGTGTCTGTATCCAAGTGCACGGGCCTAGTTATGGTACTGTACTCTTACAGTACGGTACGAACGACGCTTCTTGTTTGTATTTAACAAACTCGTTGAACGTGTCAAGTTTGACTGCTTGAGTTTGTGTTCAAGCCGCCTTATTTACAATGTCGTGAGAGAAAACAAACACGATAACCCACGTATATGTTTATTTGAGCGACCGATGATCGATCCACCACTTCTCATAGTTGCTAATCCTGAGAGGTGTCCAAGCTCCAGTGCTAATCTGTAGAACGTGTGGGGCTCTAGAGCAAAATAAATGAGTGGGGATGTTTGCCTGAGGTTATAACTGTTAGTTAGGTTGCTCACGGCGAGGTTGTCTGGGCCAGGGGTTTATGGGTTCGCATAGCCGGCAACCCATTCGGTTTACCCCGTATTCTTATACAAGGAAATTGAGTTTTCAGGTCCATACGGCGGCATACAGCCGTTTCAATAGGGGCAACAACAATGTTTTGTCTATTTGTTCGTGTTTCTCCTTTGTGATGGGACTTTGTAGGATGAACGTTGAGATGTATAAGGGCACGGGGTAATGAATAAGGTCTGAATTGGTCTGTAATATTGTAGGGCATCGATAAGGGCAGTCGACATGTGTGGGTTAGTTGTGTTGGGTTGTTTCGGCCAACGTGAGTCATTTTCGCACTCGTACCCTAAAACGAATTTAACATGATGATGATGATGTGCCGGAGAAGCACCTTCAAGAGATGAGGAGCAGAAGCTTTAGTAGATTACACTAATTATTTGGTGACACTGCATTGGTTGTCAGTCGTGCACAAGTACTTTACCAGGAATAAATAAAACCTCAACATATTCATCAATAACACTGCCTCGAAACCAAAACGTTAAACCATGTGACGTTTTGGGCAGTGACCCTTCAAAGCACTTGACAAGATAGTGGGCAGGGAGTTGGGGGGCAGCGCCTACTTAAGACGAGGGCAGAACCTTCAATAAATGGGGGGAGGGAGGGGGGACAGTAACAGCAAAATATAATTTTGTCCGGTTCCGTTCAGGATATGAGGACCAATACTTACAGATGATAGTTGGTGGTTTATAGCTCCAAAATTAAGGTGGTTTATAGCTCCAAAATTAAGGTGGTTATAATGTTTCAGGCATTGTCGGTAGAACCTGCAGCAGGATACAATGGGGGGTCGTACCAACTGGAGGTAAAGACAGGGCCTGTAGAAAGAGATGGGGGGGGGCAGAAGCTGCAGGACAAAATAGGGACACCAATGGACAGCACTTGTAGGCAATAATAGGGGGGAGGCACCGGTAGAAAACAACGAGGCAGGAGATGAAGCAGAACTTGGCGGTTAGGGATTTTGCCTTCAGCAGGGCAGGGGTCAGCACTTCCAGTGATGGATGTATGAGCATAATTGAGCATCATATTGATTTAATATATCACACTTGCGGTGTGTACCTCCAACAAGAGTGTGTTTGTATCAGCTCCCATGCAAACACAAAATCAAATTGTGGGAATTTATGACTCTGAGACTAGCCAGAATATGCCATGTGACTGGAGGGCAGTCTAAACAAGGGTGAGTGTGGCAATGTATTTCTTATATATTTTTAAACAAGCACCTGACTGCACTTAACACTAAATCTAGCCCTTACCCCTTGCCCTAACATCTAACCCCCGGTGATTCCTATAAATAACAACCCTTTTAGTTGAAGTATAGCTGGTTCAAATACACGCGAGGCATGGGTGCCACCTGGGGCCAGTTTTTGAACTTATGGAATGAATTTATTTAGTTATGTGTCTTCACAGTCACATACATTGTAACAGCAGTAGTGTATATACAGTCGTTTTGCACTCTTTTGTAATTATACATACGGTAGTCTGTGTGGAATCAAGATTCAATCAACTTCAAATCTGCTCTTATTTGGTTACCTTACACTGTTTATTGCCATATTTAAGTGAGAGCATGGTGCACATTTATGGTTAAAGTTTATGTACATAAAATAGATGTAAGAGTTTGATGAAGGATTACATGGCAAAAGTTAATGTATAATCTTGTAGAATGTGGTGAAATGTTTTAATCTAAAAATATATATATTTAGGTGTTTTTACTTTTCTGTTAAAGTACTGGAGAATGTAGCTTATATTTTAAGAGTGGTGGATTAAGTTTTATTTAGTGTGGTATGATGTCATAAAATGCTGTTGTTTTCCTTAAGTTTAAACATACCAACATTATGAGAGTTCAAACTTTTATATTTTGTCTTGATGGTGGCACTTCAGCAGCCTACTCTTTACGAAATATGTCGTGGTATTTTAATGTTTACAACAGACGACGTGCTTTGGTGACGCGTCGCAGTATCACCGGATGGCTGTGGGATTCAAACCTTTGACCCCGTACAAACTGTGGCTGAGTGTCGAGTGTGCTGACCACTTGTTCGTCCTGTCTGCGTGCTATGGAATATGGCCACGGACTATCCCAAAGCCTCTATCAATAGCCCTTTTCCCCGTACCCAAGAAATCTGACACCTGGCCTTTTCAGTGCACACACGGATGCCGCAACAGCTCTCGAAGGGAGCCAGCGGATGCCGCCGGATACTCCCAAATGGATTTTTTTCACTTTTTTTTAGCCCCTTTTAATGGTTGTGCCAATGTGCTTACTTTACTGTGTGCAGAGCAAAGCTTTTTATTTTTCTGGGCCTGGCACACCTGCAAAAGCTTACCTGGAGATGCATCTCTGCTTAAGTTCTTTTGTGTCAGCAGCATGCACAGCAGTGGCTATTGACTTTTAAGTGCTGATGGACCTGCCACATTCCAGGATATCACTGTGGGCCATATCCTCAATATGAATCCAGGGTATCAACTGTGTAAGTACACTAAAGACAGTCCACATGGCACAAGTATATTCATTTCTTTTGGATGGAAAATTTGGCGATTCGAGGTTTATGGGAGCTGGAGGTTCAGAAGCACTGATTTTAAGAAAAACAAAAAGTATGAATTTAAGCTATGTGACTGGGCAGATGTGTCAGTGTTTTGTTAAAATTCTCATATCTCACATTCGCCCATTGATATTGTTTCTCAGGATTGGCAATGAAATACCAAGGTTTACAAATGTCTTTATTTCTTCTCATTATAACTACTTTCTGGTATGTTGGATTAAATGTCAAAACTCCTAAACTCATGGCTAGCAGTTAACTTCCAAAGCTGTGTCTTGACTTCATAGGGGTCTCTAAATTATAGTATGCAGCTTTTTGTTGTCACAAGATGAATATCTGTCCAGCGCAACATACAGCATACCAGGTACACAATACCCTTCATTGACCACAGCATTATATGATATTATACAGATTATATCTTAAATAGAGGTTGCACACTAAACTTCATGTATATTCACGTGTAAAAACACCCTGCTTTTTGTAGAAATTATCGGGCAGGATTCTGCTCGTTCGTTCAAATCCCACCATAGCGGCTCTTGGCATTTCCATTTTGGTCATGGATCTGACAAAAAAGACGATTCTTATTTAATCTTAATTTTGGAGCTTTCGTGACTGCAGGAATTATTCTTTGGTTCTTTCGGTAAAGTCAGTGAACCTAATTTAGTTTATTGGTATCTGCTGAAGATGTAATCATTGGTTTGGGGACCTCAAAAGCATCCACTGTTTTCGTATTTTCTCTTGCATTGGATATGAATACAATTACTAACTCTAAACCTTTTACAACATATGTGGTGGCTATATCCTCAGGCATTGGATAACTATCGTGTTTACAGATGTTCTTGAACCTAATGGGAAGTCGGCGCCACAGAATGCTCTAGTAAGACATATCTATGTGTCTGTGCAACCCCTCCCCCCCCCACCCCGCTGGTCCCATTTGGCAGGCATGTGTGCGCGAACGTGAGAGAGTACGTGCGTGCATGTGTACGCGTATATCGGGTGGGATGGATGACTTGGGACTGGGCGAGCGAGGGCTCTTGGCAAGTCTGCGTGGGGGTCGGGGACGCGCCGGCCTCTGGGAACCCCTGCCACCGCGCTTCCGTGCGCGCTTTGAGCACATTCAGGTGGATGGTGACATCCTAAGGTGGGTTTGTGTGGGCTTTAATGTGCAAGATTAACATGGTGAATCCTTGTCAAAGTCGGTCATAATTTTCTGTTATCTCTACCTCTTCTGGGCTTGCCGTTCATCAACTTTGGTCTTTAGCAAGTTCACTTCTGGTTACATCCACACTGTAGCACACATTAGATGCGGGCGGCCTGGTGCGGTGCTGCTCATACCACCTTGTCATGTCCCCTGTCAACACTTGCTCTTGCAGTCTATATGGCTTGGTGATGATCATTGTCTTTTTGTTTAGTAGTTCCCTTTGTAAGTTCAGGTTATGCTTTGTATGCCCATTGCTCATATATGTGATTGTGTTACCGATACAAGTGATCATCTGAGTACACTAAACTTTCTGTAACAATTTTTTTTTTGTTCCTGGGTAGTAAGTGTTATTTCATAATTGCTTATCCCTCAAAAGTACAGAAAATTACTATTATTCCCCACAAACTTTGCTTTTGTGACCAGGACAGTGATATTTTGAAGTTTACCTATTTTTCCAGAACATTCCAGATAGATTCAGTGCTGAGTAAACTTGGAGTAACTTCTAGAACATTCCAGAACTTTCCAGTAATATAAATAGGAGTATACATAAGCCCACCAGTTCAGTAGAAATTTTTTTTATACAATTTTCAATGTTATTGAAAAAATATGTCATATATGAAAAATGTTGCGAGAATCTCTTACACATTAGTCATGGGTGAAATAAATGTATTTTTGTAGGATGGTACAGAGGGGAAAAGAGAGTCATGAAATTCGCTATCCCAAGAATTTGGCAGGAACCCACTGACTACTCAAGCAACTGCTACTTCTGCATGGTGGACCCTTCCAAACGTCGGACTGGCAAGAATGCACCTGCTATCACATATCCGGACCTTCCTTCATCCATCACCTCGGTGCCACACTGCCATGAGCTCCCCGTACCCACTCCTCTGGAGAGAGAGCAGCCGTCTTTAGAAGAGAGCAGCAAGTCAGAGAGCGAGGAAAACGTTGTAGATCCAGATGGCAATTTCAGAGGTAGAGTTGAGAGAAACCCCATACTACCCCAACCAAAAAGACATCAACGACTTGATCAGTGATATTGGTCTCACCAAGTCCAATGCCGAGCTTTTGACATCTAGGCTCAAGCAGTATAACTTGTTGGATAAAAGTGTGCAAGTTGCAGATCAGAGGAAGCGTAACCAACCTTTTGGCATCTTCTTCATTCGTCAAGATGGGCTCTGCTTCTGCCACAATGTGACCGGTCTGTTCAAGGCAATCGGAATCTCCTGTAACCAGAATGAGTTGCACCTCTTCATTGACAGCTCATCCAGGAGCCTCAAAGCCGTGCTGCTCCATAATGGTAACAAGTACCCGTCTCTTCCCCTGGCTCACTAAGTGCACCTCAAAGAGGATTACAACAGCATCAAGACCTTGCTGGATGCCTTGAAGTATGATGAGTACGGCTGGCAGGTCATCAGAGACTTCAAAATGGTCGCATTCCTGATGGGTCTCCAAGGCGGTTTTACCAAGTTTCCCTGCTATCTTTACCTTTGGGACAGCAGAGACACCAAGGCGCACTTCCACAGGCGGGACTGGCCACAGCATACCGAGTTATGTGTGGGGAGGAACAACGTCAAGTGGGAGCCACTGGTGGACCCCGGAAGGTGCTGATGCCACCACTACACATCAAATTTGGCCTTCTTGGTTGTTTCGTTAAAGTCACGTAGAAGGGAAATAATAAAATAATAAAAATAAAACATAATAAAATCAAATTATCACGACGTTTCGGCCACAACACAAGCAGCCGTCCTCAGGTGAAGAAACAGAGCTGTCGGAAAGACAGCGCTCCAATGGACACTGCTATGCTTGGCAGCGTATTTAACCTGGGTGGGAGGAGGAGAGCGCCTTGACAAAGGAGTTTAGATATCAACAGAGGAATTTAGCATAGAAGTAGCTATGATAATGTGAGAGATTAGCATGATGTTAAAGTGAGAAATTACCGAAAAAAACAAGAAGATGAATCCCTGCAGTCACGGAAGCTTTAAATCGAAATTTGCCCTCATGAAACAATTTATCAGAGCTGTAGATAAGGAGTCTGCAACCCTTCAAGTACCTTCAAGATTTCTTCCCTAAGCTGTCTGAGCAAAGGTCAAAGCCGGTGTCTTCTTCGGACCACAGATAAAGAAGATCCTGGAGTGCAAGGAATTCCCCAAGAAGCTCACTAGTAAGGAGAAGGAGGCTTGGGACAGCTTTGTCGCAGTGGATTCGTGGCTTCCTGGGCAATCACAAGGTCGAAAACTATGTGGAGCTGGTTGAGACTCTGTTGAAGAACTACGGCACAATGGGTTGTAGGATGTTCCTCAAAGTCCATATCCTTGATGCTCATCTTGATAAATTCAAGGAGAACATGGGAGCGTACTCAGAAAAGAAAGGCGAGCGCTTCCACCGGGATATACTGGACTTTGAACGCCGCTTCCAAGGACAGTTTCACGAGAACATGATTGGAGATTACATTTGAGGGCTGATTCGTGAAAGTGATTCACAGTATAATCGTAAATCTCGACAAACTACTCACTTTTAAATATTTTGTAGTAATTGTTGTATTACTTTAGTGAAAATACATATTAATTTGGATTAATATGTATTTTCTTCTGACTTTATGTGAACGAAAGGACACAAATTCCCCCGTTTTCTCATTGAAAATAGGTAAATTTTAAAATATCACTGTCCTGGTCACAAAAGCAAAGTTTGTGGGTAATAATAGCCATTTTCTATGCTTTTTAGGCATTAGCAATTAAGAAATAACACTTACTACCCAGGAACAAAGATTGTGTTACATAGTGAATTATCACAGCTTCTTAGAAAAATCATAATCTAGGCATTGTATGGTAATACCTTTGGTTTCAATTGTGTAAATGGAAAGTATTCGGACACACAGATATATTAAAAAATAAAACACATTTTCAGATGCGTTTTTGCACATATAAATTAGTACAGTAGTGTAAAAATTACTAGATTCAGATAGAGATTAAACTTATCTTCGTAGTTTTTTTAAACATATCTTTTTGATGTTGCTCCATAGCTTCTGCATCTGAATGAAGCACAGGCGCTGATCTGTCATGATTGAATGGAGACCCATCTGCCGCCCATTTTACTTGATGGATTCCTGCACATGTTTTGCGGCGCGTGCAGTTACCACGGAAATTCGGACGACGTGGGATGCTACATTGCAGCGCAGCCACTTGGGAAGGACAACAGCTACTTCGAGGTATAGCAGGCCAGCGGAAAAGCTGGCGAGTCCGCAGTTATCCTTTGCTTACCGACATTGGGTATTTTTGAGCAAGGGACACACATGGCAGTGTTAGACGAAGACATGCATTTTTGAGGATGCACTGGGTTTTTATGCATTCTTGTCCATCATGTATTTTCTCTTGGATGTGTGCCAAAGCGTCTTGGCCTACAATGAGTACCTGGTGTGGTGCGTGAACGTCCGTCAATGGAAAGACAGGCAACATGGTGTCTTAACTGCAAATCCATGGTTTTTGTCTTTCCGTGTGAGTGTGTTAAAAGTTGGTGCATGTAATTTGTTTCTTTGGCTTCCATTTTAGCGTCAACTCTATGGTACAAATACCTTACGCTTATGTGAAGTTGGTTAACATGCTGGACATGTATAAGGCATTCAGACCATATGAAAAACTAAATCTGACCTAAGTTAACTGACATAGAGGTCTGCGCAGGAGTGCTTGCTTGTAACAAAAAATCCAGCCATTTTCCATCTGCCAATGGACAAAGGCCTCCCCATGCTTTGTCAGTCATAGGATTTTATTTCACATGCTTCATCACGCTTGTCAGTGCAGGTTCGTGAATGCGGGAGAAGGGCATGGTTGATATGATTTGCCACCGATGTTAGCTGTGACCGGGAATCGAACCTAGTAGGTCACTAGGTTTATAGCGCAGCTCGCTAACCACTGCACCAGTGCTACGCCCGCTTTATATATGTACCATAAAATAGTGTGTGCGTGCGTGCGTGCGTGCGCGTTCCAAAGGTGTGCATTATGGATGGTGGTGTACGGGGAAACATCTCAGTGGGACTGGTACCACGGCGGTACCGCCTTGACCTGCCGCCCGGCCTCCTTCCAGGATCTGTGGCATTCCACGCAGAGCACGGAGAGTATGGCACGCACACACACCATCCAATTTCGCACAGGCTGTAGGATCCTCGTACTTTGTTCTTGCTTGCGTTGTGTGAGAGTGATTTTTTTTTTATTGTGATTGAAGTAAATACAGTCTTTGAAAATAACACATTACCGATTTGCGCCGTTGCTGTAATCCCACTCCTAAACTCTGGTAAGCTGTAATCAAGTGAATTTAAGTTTGTGCCCATAATTGAATTAGAAATATATACTTAGGTGATAGATATGTTTGCAGTATTCAGGGAACTTAAATGTGTATCTTTATTTAGTCATATATGTAGTATGGTTAGCCTCTAGATGGTTATCTTGTCTCAAGCAAACAGGGAGAGTGATGCAGGGAGAAATCACAAGGTGGTTTATATAATGTCCAAACTGATACAAAAATCTATTACCTTGTCTATATTAATATTAAAGATTACATGATGCATTATTGAGCTTCATCATAACTAGCAATAGTAAAGGAATTGCATTTTAAGATAGTTCTCCTATGGCATCAGTCTGACAGACAGAAGGCCTCCTTTGCTGGGATGAAGGCTATGTGTCGTCGGCTTACACATCATTGTTTATGCATTCCATTAACTGAAGACTTTTGAATTAAAAAAACCCAGATAAATAAAACATATCAGTGGTAGATGCGCCTTCGTTGGCTGCGTGCCCGTATGGCTTGGTTTTGTTTAGCACTCGCTCTAGTCAGTTTGGCCTCCGGTTTATTTTCGTTCCGTTTATCGCGGGGCGAGAGCGACATTGAAATCCCGTCCGCCGCTTGCGGCATTTGCCTGTGTGGTAACTGGCCATCTCTAGGTCACATGCCCCACATGCTTTTAATTATCGACAGATAGTCTAGAGAAATGAATGTCTGACTTTGCAGAGAAAATCTCAGATTTTTTGTGAGGTGGCCTTGATGTGGGCGGAAGAGTGGCGCATGAAGCGACCTTCCCACAGCGAGCATAGGCAGCCGGGTGGCTTCCCACGTAATCGCGGCCGATAGGTCTTGGCAGAGAATATTTTTGGTTGTAGACATTACTGGCACCAGCCTTGGGGTTTATATTTAACAGACCATCTGGAATTGCAATGTTCAGACAAGTGTGGTATTGTGTTGGCAAGGTTTTTATTTAAATATGTGTGTGCACGAATGGATGAACTTTGTATATAAAGTGGTTGTGATGGGTGAAAAGTATGGAAACATTTGCTCTTTCATTTACATATTTGCATAAGTTAATTTGGAGTTTATGTTTGTTATGTTAAAGTAACATTTGAATGCTATGCAGATTTGGTGTGTTTATGAGATACAGGGGTCATATCTGTGGAATTTGTTCTACTTCCCTAGTCTTGCTGTGCTCAGTAAATGTGGTGAATGTATAATAGTGATCCCAAGTCCATGTTGAGGATGGGAAAAAAATAGGAAAAAAATAGTTGCTGTTATATGACAGTAATATTAACCTAAACTGGTAGTATTTGTTATTGCTGCCATAATAACCTTCTTTAAATGTGCCTCAATTTACAGGGGAAATAATATTTAACTTTAGATTCTCCGTTTCCTCAGGTTAAGGTTAAGTGGACCGTATTTTGGCAATGGGCTCTCACAATGCTTAGAATGCATGCTCATTTGACTGCAACTGCAAGCTACTAATCGGCATGCAATATGTGAAAAAAACCATTGTACACTAGGGGAACCTCATTTGCCAGTAAAACTATGATAATTGGTTTTTTACCCTTCTATCTGGCAACAAAACGGACAACTTTTTACAAGGAGTCATGTTTGCATAGACCGCAATACCTGCAGTCATAATACAAACAGAAGACATAACTCTGATAATGTGCACTGTCCTTGAAGTTGATTGGTCCACACCCGAGACAGCTTTCCTTAGAGCCTAGTCTCACATGGGTTGGACGTGCGCCTTTTGGCGTCATCTGGTCCAACCCATGTGAGACTAGGCTCTAAGGAAAGCTGTCTCGGGTGTGGACCAATCAACTTCAAGGACAGTGCACATTATCAGAGTTATGTCTTCTGTTTGTATTATGACTGCAGGTATTGCGGTCTATGCAAACATGACTCCTTGTAAAAAGGTGTCAGTTTTGTTGCCAGATAGAAGGGTTAAAAAACAATTATCAACCATTGTACAGTTAATCACGAACTGCAACATGTAATTTACTTATTGCACGCATTTCTATTCATTATCCAGTTTTTACTGTTGTGTATAGTGTATGTACATAATCTATGCAATAATATGTTTTTGTATATTTTTTATAATATACAGACCGTATGTGTTGTATATTTTGTGTATTTAAGCATGCACGTGGTGTATTTTCACGCTTGTAATTGTATACTGTATTCGTGTACGTGGGTTTGTGACATTTGAGAAGAAAAATTCAGGCCACGTGCACATTCGTTTTCCAAGGCCGTGAAAGTAATCTGCATTTATTCTTTGGGTCTTTCGGTAAAGTCACGTAGATAGGTAACATTTTTTTATTTACGATCGCAACACAAGCGGTCGTCATCAAGTGGAGAAAAACGAGACGTTAGCCTCTAAAGGCAAACTGTTTAGAAAGGTTTAAAATGGGCGTAGCCCAAGTGTCAGCAGCATGGGCGGAGGAGCTTATGTTAATGTTAGGAATGAAAAACGGTGGGCCTCCGCATGTAGGGCGGAGAAGGTTATGTTAATGTGAGGGGTTAAAACAACTGGTGAGCAACGGACACTGCTAAAGTGGAAACATTACAGCCAGTTATGACTTGAACTGGTTGATAAAGTCCTTCCAGTGATTGCTGAGTTTGTACCCATCGTCTCGGTTGAAATTGTGTCTATGTCTGTATATATGGATGGCTTCGTGAACGAATCTTTGTTGATAACCAGTGGGTTTGCAAAGTACCTTCGTCTTAGAGAAATCAATTTCGTGTGAGCTAACTGCATTAAAACAATGATCAGCCACGGCCGAAGTATTGGTCCTACCGTGTTTCAGATCTGGCTTATGCTCATGAACACGGTCCGAGACATGTTCCTTAGTTTCCCCAATATAACTACTGCTGCAGACACAGCTTAGTTTTTGGCCACCCAATAGTGGCTTGCCATCCTTTCCCACCTCCATGTGGGGATGTTCCTTTCCGAGCTCTCTCGAGCTTACATCTACAAGCAAATTTCTTACATTGACATGCTAATCTCTCAATACAATGGCCACCCCCACAGCTTCGTTTATCGAGATTTCTCCTATCTTACATTTACATGCAAATTTTATCTCTAGCCCCGCCCACTGACCCTTGGGCTACACCCATCTCAAACCTTTATAACTCCCTGCCTTAGAAGCGCTCCCGCCATATATTCTTTCCTGCTTCAGCAGCTCTCACCTGATGACGATTGCTTGTGTTGTGATCGAAACGTCGTGATATTGTGATTATTTTAATTTTTAGTATTTTTCTATCTACGTGGGTTTACCGAAAGACCCAAAGAATATGAATTCCTGGAGTCATGAAAGCTTTAAGTCAAGATTTATGTACTGTGTTAAATCGAACCTGGATCTTGTGTTTGTGATTTTGGAAATCTTTTTGGTGACCCCTGCTATGTATGTCAAGGTGATGGTTTTGATTGGGTCCTCAGATGGTTCTTTCCCAACGGTTGGGGTGATAGCTTTAACTGGCTGTAATGTTTACATTTTAGTACTGTCCATTGCTCACCAGTTGTTTTACTCCTCACATTAACATAACCTCCGCCCGATAAGTGGAGGCCCACCGTTTTTAATCCCTCACATTAACATAAGCTCCTCCGCCCATGCTGCTGACACTTGGGCTAAGCCCATTTTAAACCTTTTTTAAACAGTTTTCCTTTAGAGGCTAACCCCTCTTTTTCTTTACCTGATGACGACCGCTTGTTTTGCGATCGAACGTCGTAAACATTTTTTTACCTATCTACGTGACTTTACCGAAAGACCCAAAGAATATGAATTCCTGCAGTCACAAAAGCTTTAAGTCAAGATTCAATGTGCATATAATTGCGCAATGTTTCGCCAGTGCATTTCATTTACTTTTACGGTATTTTAATATGGCCTGTGTTTCAAGTAACCGTACTTCACATGTTCAAAATGCTTCCGTGTGGGTTATTTTCAATCTCCCATTTAACACTTCGCCTCTCCTCCTTCAACTTCACTGGCTTACCGTTTAATACACCGCTGACTTTTCAAATACCTTTACACTGTGTCTTTAAAAATCTACGATGGTCATACCCCAACGTCGTGATTTAATTTATTTTATTTTATTTTTTACCTACGTGACTTTACCGAAAAAAGAGTACGGTCATACCCCACCTTATCTTGACTCGCTCATCTCTTTTTATGCCCACTCTCGGACCTCTTCGTTCACAATCTTCTCTTGTCTCTCTTTCTCCCTCTCCTCCCTCCCTCCTCCCTCCTCCCTGTGCCCAATCTCGTTTTAGATCTTTATTTTTCCTTGCACCTCTCTACTGGAATAAACTTCCCCTATACATTAAGAAATCTGCCTCCTTAATCTCCTTTCGTTCCACTCTTCAAGCCTCACCTCTTCTCCATTGCCCATCGCCTTCCTCTTCCCTAGCCCCATCCCTTCCCTGCCCTTTCATGACACCTGTGTGCCTTCTCTTACAGTCACTCATTCCTAGGCCCTTGTACACCCTTGTCCATCAATATCACTCCTGTTTTTGTTACTGCTTTTAAACTATGTAAAGCGCTTTGAGCTAAGGATGCTCTATAAATATAAAGTAAGATATGATGCTTGGAATCGCACTGAGATAGAAAGAGGAAAGATGTATAGATGCCCAATATTTACTGTTAAGAAAAGTAAGTAGGCTTATGCAGGACACATCTTCAGAAGGGGTGATTGCCGATTTTTGAGACTAATGATGAAATGGCAGATAAAGGAGGGAACATGCCCGAGAGCATGTCGACAATGGAGATGGAAACAAATAGGCTTGTGTGCAGGAGCTAGTTGGTTTTTTATTAGGAGACTGTGAGGTATGGTAACCGCCTGGGGAGGCCTTCATCCAACAATGTATAACTCATGAATAATGATGTTTCTAGTGCCGAGTTTCATCTGTAAAAAAAAAAAACATTTTACAGGGAGAAAACTGCAAAATGTGATGAGCTCAATATCAAGCAGATTATCTAACCCCCTGTTCATTTCCCCTCTCATTGTCCTCCCTCATCCTTGCTAGGCTTTACCGTGGACAGGCCGTGGGCCAGCAGTTTGGGCCGCGCTGTGAGGCCGGCGACCGTATTGGCTGTGGTATTCGAACGACCACCGTTGACGGCCGGGGGGTGGCCTACGGGGTTGCACACATCTTCTTCACACGCAACGGCACGGAGGTGAGAGGGGCCCTCGACCGACGGTATCCTGATTGGGAATGGGTGGCATCATTTCTTGGCCAGGTTTATGCCAAGTGCTATAGCAATTGCATGATTGTTTTCCACACCTTGTTGCTTAGTAATAATTATATTTATCTAATGGTTTATTTTTTGTTTAGAATATTCTCAGTTTAAATATTTTTGGGGGGCAGACTTCATTGGGATGTTCGGCCAAGGTTTTATTAAGTTTTATTTTTATGTCAGAGGGAAACAAACCAGAAATACGAGGGGATAATGCTCACAAACCCATACATAAAAGTTAGATGGGCTAGGTATTTTAGGCACTTCAATTATGCATGTACCACCAATCCTGCCTCCAGACTGGTGAATTACAGGTCTCTGCCAGCATATCTGGCAAACTCTACAATGTTGAATGGTTATCTTTTGTGCGGTGCCTATCTCGTTCTCATGATTGAGTGAGCTTCATAATTAATGTACTGTTCTGAGATTGGATAATTAATCAAATCGTTATTTATGCACTCGCATATTGTGTCACTGTCACCATCTGATTACTCTTTTAACGTCTTCCTGCCTTTGGTCATATACTTTGTGACTCAACTCTTAAGGTGAGCTTTGCCCCCCCCCCCAACTCCTTCCTTCCAATTTGAAAGCCACTGAACTATTGAAAATGCATCTGGTGTGTAGGCTGGCCCATGTGCGTATGCGTCATCTGGGTGTCTTGCTGTAGAGGGATGGAATGCACAGGCCACCGACTGTGCTCACCGTGGGCAGCTCATAAAAGTGTTTTCTTTTTACATGAACGTAAATTCTCGTCCCCGCAGCTGCCTGGTAATATATGTCTTGCGGCATTCAGCAAACAGAAACTATGGGGCCAGTTTATATACTAACTAATTAAACCTCACTCTCCTCTCCCTATATGACCCAGGGTGGGTACCACGATACGTTTGAATGGCCAATTTTGTATTCGTAAATATGGAAGATCGTAGCATATTGCATAATGTAGTTCAGTATTATCCCGGTGACCCATTCCTAGCCATGATGCATAACAATCGTGACTTTTGTTATCTATACCTGGCCTCTCGTAAGTCAACTCGTCACATAATGAGTACTTAATGCAGTGTGAACAACGTCAGCTTTTGGGATACAAGGGTTGTTGGGTGTGGTGCTGACCCCACCACCCCCTTGTGTGTGATGCTGACCTCAAGTGCTCATGAACAGCTTAATCCCCTGCAGTGTCCCAGGCTCAAAGTGGAACTTTGTCTGTTTGTATATAAGTACATACGTGTTAAATATTTGGGTGGTGGCTATACATTTGGGATAACATACCAGCATTGCATGTTTGATTCCTGATCAAGGACATAATCAGCCCAGTCAAGCAATGTGAAGTTGTCATGGATTGTGAGCTCTCATTCTTTGCTCACATCCCCAACAACTTAGGACAACCTACTTTCACCTGTGCAACATCTCCTGTTTCTGTCACTTCCTTTCCCTAGCCACTGCTGAGGCTCTGGGACTCGACTACTGCATCTCCAAATTCCATTTGATTGAAAATGCTGTCGCCAGACTTCGCATCCACAAACGAGCTCCCAATCCAGTTTTAGATTAATTATAACTTCACCTTCACTTTATCAAGATCTTCCATGAACTTGCTCCTCCATTTCTTTGCCATCTCATCTCAATCTACTCCATTCCACCTGTCCTCTGTTCCCTTAACCACATTCGCTTGTCTAAAGTATCAGTCAGCCCCTTTTAACAATTATGGGTTGCTCCTCGGAAGATGATTTTGTAGTTCTTCTGGACATCTGCACTGCAGAGACCCTTCCCAAATCTATGCTTAAGACTCTCCTCTTCTGCCAAAAATTTACTTTAATATATCATATTTCTCTCTCTCTCTCTCTACCATGCTGCTCCGTACTGTCTCCAAAAATAATGTAAAAATACCCTCCTCAAGTTTTATATTTTGATTTGCTCTCTTTCTGTGTAGTTACACTTAGATGCTTACAATGTCTATATTATTGTACCAAATAGCATCAATTTTTGCCTGGGGAAACTCATCCTAACATGATAATCTTTTACAAGGATTTAACACCAGCACTGGTTGAGACTAAAACAGCTGTGAGTGAGTCTTGCTGTTGTATCTACCCACCTTTTAGTGTTATGTGCTGTCCACTGTCGGTGCTCACTAACAGTGGGTTGTGCAGCACATAACTTAAACCAACTACACACAAAAGTTGCCACAAATAAATCACAATAGCTTGCTGATCTCTTCAAGGAGCATAAATCATCGTACAAACTCCGGTCATCCTCGCATTGGATTTTGGCTAGCCATCGAATGAAGATGGTCTCTCCATAGTGCGCTTTCAGATGGGCTTCTGCGGCCATCTGGAACGCTCTTCCGTCTTATATTAGGAAGCCGCTGGAGCTATGCACTTTTAAATGTAGATTGACAATTAATTTCTTTAGAACTGTTTTTTGTATTTCTTGTCTTTCCCCCGCACCTCTGATTAGCACAGTTGGCTACGTATGGTGCGAAAGAGGTTCAACATACATACATTACCACCATCAAAGTGTTAAAACATCCTCTTGCACCACCAATATAAACCTACGTGGTAGGTGTGCAGTATATACTTACATGGCGCAGCTTGCATCGTACTGCATTTCGACATAGCGTAGTATGCTTGCATTGCAGTCTGTTTTCTCTTTTGCAGAACATTGTTATTTTAAATTGTCATTGCATGGCTTTTTAATTGATTGTTTACGTTTCGATAAACCCACAGTGTTTTCATTTCACAAGTAATACGAAAATAAAAACAGAACAGTTTGTAACTTCAGCATCCAAGCATGTTTGATATAATCATTTGGCTTTTGTTTATTCTTATATATCCCTCCCTGAACAAAATGCGGGCGCATAGAACACACAGGGGGTTCAAAGAAGTACGTGGGAGAGAAAAGTTTTTTCTTTTAAGAACCCAACCTTCATAACACACTCATTTTACACTCATCGTACAGGCTTTATAAAGACTAATTCTAGATTTGAAGCTTTCGTGACTGCAAGGATTCATATTCTTTGGTGTTTTCGGTAAAGTCACGTAGGTAAAAAAGACTATGCATTTTGTGCTATATAACTTCCAGCATATTTCATTTTTCCATCTCTTGTTCATTGCATGGCAGTGGTCCCACGGCCTGTTTTTGGCTACACGGTTTTGGCCGGCGCCTCAGTCATAGGCATTTTGACCGACGCCTGCACGAACCCTCCCTCTCGTCGGGTGGGCGTGCTCGATAATGTCCGTACTCTCGTGTTGTCCTTGTTTCCCTGGTAAACGGGCGCTCGCAAAATGGGCACATAACCCCCCCCCCCCCCCCCCCGTGCAAAGTAAATCATTTCCCTCCCGTGTTCCCACAAATGGTCCACATTCATGTCCGGGAAGACACATGAGTAGTCCAATGTCACGGGATCGAGCAGTCTCACAGAAGGAGGAAGTCCCTTACATTCGTGTGGGATGCCGACCCATTTTAATAACTTCCTGACCTTTCTGGCAACTGGCTTTTTTTATTTATCTAAATATAACTGAACTGAAAACAAACAAATGAAATAAAGCATGCCCTAAAATGTAATTTACTCTAAAATCTAGAGAACAATGAGCTAGCCAGCAGTTTGGCTAGTACCTCTATGGGATATAATTTGACGTTAGCTTCAACATTAGAGCCACTCAAAAAGGGGCCATTGTTTGATCAAATGCTGGTTTGGAAGGATGTACTAGAGTGCTTGGGAAATCCTGGCATGGCTGATTTTGCTTTTTCAACCTGTGACTTTAGCGTTGAGTGGTTTTGTAAGTTGTATTCATCATAAACCAATAACTTGTGGTTGTGTTCTTTGGTATAGATCCCAAACCTTTAAGTTTTATAGTTTCTTTAAACTTGTACCTAAAGTATTCTGTTCAGCTTTCGTGTTACTGTGTTGTATGGCATGGCTTAAGATGTGTGTTTTTTGTTCCTGTCACTTCCCATTACAACACTGTAACATGTGGCATGGCTTTGTGGCAATTTTCTTTATTTGTAATTCTGTTCAGCCCTCTAACACCACACCACGCAGTAGCTGTTATGCAGCGATGATGCTTCAAGGGTCTTTGCAGTCAATGTGTTTCTCCTACAATGATTATGTACGAATGCCAAAAAAGATTGGGCTGCACTTTTTTTTTCTCATGCAACAAAAACAAAAGATGTGAAATTGAGAAATCCCTTTTACTAAAAAAAATATATTGTCATTGTCTACGTAGCGCGTTTCCTATGAATGTGTTGAGTTGATGTTAAGTTAGTTTAACACGTAGGCTTATGTTAAGTTGTGGAAGATTGGCCAGGAGATGAGTGTTTGCCTTGCGGACAGGAAGAAAGCTCTGAGTTCCAATCCCACCACGTGTCCTGGGTTTTCCTTGTGAAACGGGGAGTGCAAGTGCAGCTCAATGGGCTCTTAGCTGGTTATAAATAACATTACAAGGTTAGTTGAAAAAGTGCATTGTTTTGTCAGTGTCTGCAAGCATCCAGAGCCATTCTTCATGTCTGAAAATGTTAAGGGTAGCAAAATTGTTGCTTAATGGAAGGCACAGTTCAGATTAACTGTTTGAGACATGATCATTGCATCCTTCCTGTTTGCCCTAAGGGTGTTCTTGTTGTGGACAGTCTTGAGGCAAGGTGCAATAAGTAACAAACCAATTGCACTTCATAACTTTGACATGCTATCACACCCCCATCACCATTCCACTTTTGCTCTGTCCACTTATTTGGCTATTACACAACTCGTAGCATTGACTTGATGCATTCACATACCCATACAACCTCTCCTGTATCCTTGTGTACAATGTACGCATGTATTTTGTTCAACCAGGTAAGAACTCAAGAGCAAAGGATAGTCTTAATTTGTAACCTCAGTGTGCTCTTGTGTCTTTGTTCAATATGCTGTGTCGTTCGCTTGCACCTGGCTTCCTCTGCATGGGGACTGTCCA